TCTCTTCGTTTGGAAGAAGGAAGCAAACGGGGACTAGGGACAGGGAGAGAGAAGGAGTGTTTCGATTTTTTTTTTTTTTTAAGAAATCAAACAAAACTAAAACGTTTCTTCATCTGATATGTCAAAACATGGTTCACAGTAAAATTCACAAACCAATTTACATAAGTTTACAATTTAAGAAAAAACAAGACACACAACTTACTATAAATAAAAGAAATGCGTTTGCGACCCGCACAGCTCTCTCCCACCTCCCCTTTTTTTAAGGAACAAACCCCTAAGGTTAAAAAGTTGTGAATGCTACAGATTGTGGATAGAAACCAAGCGAGGCTCAGTAAGGTGGAAGAACAAAACACTTAAACCACAACGATAAGATTAACAACCGAGTTTAAAAACAAAAGCCCGCTGGTTGGTTTTTTTTTTTTTAATATTGCAACGCTAGAAATCAAACTGGAAGATGAAAGATATTGTAAAAACTTTTAAGCGAATAAAACAGTGCCCAACCTAGCAGAAACCAGGAAAGAAGTTGCTGTGGTTTAAAAACTTCACAGCGGCTTCTAGGAGGCAAGAGTTGTGCTCTATTAAAATAACAGCTTGCTCAAATATTTTTTGTACAAAAAAAAAATGACACAACTAACGGATTTCCTTTTCAAAATTTCTCCAAAGTTAATATTTAAGTCTGCTAAGCGGAGCAACACTGCCGTACATCCCAGTGTAGTCAGGAGCGGTGGTGGGGTTAGGGATTAAGACGGGGAGCCGCCCGAGCAGCCAAGTTTATATGTGAGTTAGTGGTACGGTACCATTCACGCCAGTCCCGGCACTCTGGTAGTGCTGGTGGACGCTGTGTAACCTGCTGCCCTGCAGGGCGGAAGGGTCTGTGGCATCCCCCCCGGGGGGCAGGTACATGCTGATCATATCCCGCAGGTCTCCCAGGCAGGCCCTCTGCGAGTGGGAAGCGATGGCCGGAGGCGGTGAGCTGGGCTCGGATTTCACCACCGAGCCCATGGAGCCCAGGCTCATGGCCGTGGAGGGCTGCTGGCCGTAGGCAGCGGGGGACATGCTGTAGGTGGAGGCGGCGTTCATGTAGGTCTGGGCCGTGGACATCATGGGGCTGTACTGCAGACCCGTCATGTCGTAGCGGTGCATCTGCTGCAGCTGGGGGCTGTTCATGCCCGGGTGCTGGCTGTAGCCCAGCTGGTCTTGCATCAGCGAGTAAGCCCCGTTGGTCCAGCCGTTCATGTGGGCATAAGTGTCAATCCTCTGCCCCACCCCGACGGGGCTGCTTACCGCGTTGCCCCCTCCCGGGGCCAGCAGATTGCCGGGCAGCGAGTATTTGTCCTTCTTCAGCAAGGTCTTGGTCTTCCTTCGGGGCCGGTATTTGTAATCCGGATACTCCTTCATGTG